CCTGGGAGGGTATGGGCTGGATGATCGTTAATGCAGAGGGCAAGTTAAGTGTTCATTTATCTGTGAAACAGCAGGCTTGTAAGGGAAGCCTTGCAGATACGGCGAGCAAGTGGAGAAATGGCCAAGAGGGAAACAGGATCTCGTCTGCCAGATTCGTTTTTTATCTTGATTGTTTGGGTATTGGATTTAACTTCTGAAGAATGTTGCAAATGGGATATTTTCTTTTGGTCTGTCATTCACGTTCTCCCAGCGGAAGCTCCTGTGATGGTCACGAACTGGGTAGTTGATTCTTTAGTTGAGGGGGCTGGTACATTTCAAATTGAATCATAAGTTAAGAATTTGCCTCTGGAGCAGTTTTAGACATCGCCGATGTTCTGACTAATCAGCCACCCCGCATTTAAACTGCAAAGGTAGCTTTCCTTTCCCTGGAATGATTAGGAAACAGACATCAATGCAGATGCCTCTGTGTGCAAGAGTAGAGCATGCATGCAGAAGGCCCAGGGTCAAGCGACCCCCTTTCCCCAGAAGATGTATCGCCTTAAAGAAAAGGCTCTTCCACCTGTTTCAGTGGGCTTCTTGTGTAAATCTTTCCTTAGGTTGCTGCGTTTAGCCCTTTTCTCAATTAAATTAGTTCACAACCTTGTTTTATAGTTTCTTGAGGCTCTGAAAGAACAGTCACTTATTTTTCATTAAGTCTTGACGCCTGTCCTCTGGCGACTTAGGCCTGCTTGGCTCACATACCCCTGGCCGATCTGACGGAGCAATGGTGGCCTGAAGGATGCCTTTCTGACTGAGCTGACATCTCTTTTAACCTCTCTGGGGGAAACAGGAGATCTATGTCTGTCCTCTACTCCCTGTTCTCTGACAAGATCCAGGATGCTTCATGAATCAGTTTAGTGCTGGCTTCGGAGAAACAGGAAGTGCTTACAGAGTAGACCAAAAATGAAGGTTTGTATGGGAGAGAGCTCGTAAAAACGAAATCTGTTCTGTGGCTAGAAAAAGACAGAGACAGCGATTCTGAGAGATTGACTTACATGATCCAGAAGGTTTAGTGCCAAGAGGCTGCCCCGGTGTGACTCACTCCTCAGGCGACACCGTCAGGGCCACTGCCAGCTCATTGCCGTCTTGTCAGGGACACTTGATCGGCCTGTGTGTGTCAGAACTGAATTCTTACCTTTCCTTTATGGACCGTGAAAATTGATGGTGGTCAGTCTTGCTCAGGATATAAGATGCCTGCTTTAAAAATATTTGTCAAATTTAATATGGTTTGCCCAAATAATGACCTTTGCTGTTATTAAGAAAAATTGATAACTGTGACAGGAGATTTGCCTGGTTTCTGAGGTAACTGTAGATTATAATCTGGTTGCCATAGCTACACAGCTGCAGGGAAGATTGTAGGAACTAATAGGAGAGAGAGATTTGAGTAGGATGCCTGAAAGCCCTTTCCCTGTTGTGTCTCTTCCCGAGGGAGCAGGTTGGGGGTCAGGAGCTAGCCCTGTGAGCAAATGGATTTTGGAGAATGGCTGCCTCCAGGCCGCTCTTTGAATTGTGCTGGTGTCAGTCATCACTGAGAAATGGTCGCAGAGCCACTTTTGAGGCCATCGGATAAATATTGTGACAGAATTGGTAACACACCTTAGTCAGAAATTCCTTTTGGGGGCTATGTGGGGGTGACCCACATTCTCCATAGTGTTCAGGGCCTGTGCCTGCCTCAGTGCTGTGGGACTCAGGCCCACCGCAGTGCTGGCAATTGGGCCCGGACCACCTGCTTACAGAGCACATGCCCTAACTTGTTGAGGCTTTCTTTAGGGTCCAGAAAATTCTTTTCCTTGCTTGGGACTTTGCCATAAAACTGGTGAGCTGTCCTTTTAAAATTAGCATTCGAGACGGTGTTAGATTTTGGAGTGTGGTAGAAATGTCCGTTTGGAATTAGTAGAGACAGCCAGAGGGAATGGTCCTGGTGTCCATGGATTTCTCCTCCTCCCTCTAATTCAACAGGCATATCACTGTCCTCTCGTTGTTCATCGATTTGCTCGAGCGGGCCCAGTAACATCTCCACTGGAGACGTTGTTGTTACTGTGTTTGGCATATCGAATACACCACGGGGAGCTTGCCAGGCTCTGCCATGTGGGCGAGATACAGGCATATAGTACAGATTTATCTTTAGAGGCTTAAACACAAAGTAACTGATTTTCAGCTTTATTACGGTGATGGACAGTCTGTCTGTAGATACTTTTTTGTTTGTTTTTGTCCCATACCCAGAGATGTTCAGGGCTTGCTTCTGGCTCTGTGCTAAAGGATCACGTCGGGCTTGCGGGATCATATCATGGAGAACCGTGAATAGAACCTGGGCTGTCCACTGCCCTGTCTCTCAGGCCTGCTCTAAGGAGTTTTAAAAAAGACATGGATAATTCTCTTTATTGGTGGGTTTATACTGTTTTAGTCTAGACGTACTATCACTGTCACTGTCCTCCCGTTGTTCAATGCCCTACCGCTGTGCTGTATACTTGCTTGGCAGGGGAAACACCATGATCACGTAGATGTACTATATTTATGAGAAATTAAATGGAAACTACATTTATCTGAGGAATTACATTAAATGCTCAGTTGCAATAAAGAAAATGGAAATCACCGTTAAATCCAAAGGGATTGTGTGAGTTCTTATAATGGCACAATGTGTTTACATTGGTGAGAATGAAAAGCTTTTTTTTCCATATAATTAAAAAAATTTTTTTTTATGGAGTGATAGCACAGCAGTAGGGCATTTGCCTTGTGCGCAGTCAGCCCGGCCGACCCAAGTTCGATTCCTCCGCCCCTCTCGGAGAGCCCGGCAAGCTACCAAGAGTATCTCACCTGCACAGCAAAACCTGGCAAGCTACCCGTGAGGTATTCGATATGCCAAACACAGTAACAACAAGTCTCAAAAAAATGGAGCCGTTTCTGGGCCCGCTCGAGCAAATCGATGAACAATGGGAGGGCAGTGAACAGTGACATGACTCACAGTGAGACACATAGTTACAAAGTTGTTCATGATTGGGTGTCAGTCGGATAATGTTCCATACCTGTCCCTGGTGAGGATATTTGAATACTGAAAACTTTAAGATTATTGGCACAGCTAACTGTGCAGGAAAACAAATTGCCTTGAAATAAATGCTATAATTCAAGATAATGAGAAGTAACAGAGGAAGCGTAGATTTTTTTCCTCTAAATGATTCTGTTTTCTTCAGTTAATGTATTTCCTGATTAAAACAATTTAATATCCTAGCAGTGTCTCCTTATTTAAAGCAGCAAAATACATGGATATTGAGGGTTTGGAATTTAAGGATGAATGGCTGTGAGCTCAGTAGTTTTACAAAACAGATAAATTATGGTACGTAGAGTTAAGAAAGGTTTGATTTTTGCATTGCATTTTAGTGCTTGCTTTGACAGCACAAGTGTAAAAATTAAATTGCGTTTTATGAAGGTTTAATTCCTAAGATAAAATAACTACTTGCAGTATTTTTTCTTATGCTTTATAGCTTTTATTCGTTTCATAGAATTAGGTACTGAGCATGTACTCTATGCCAGGTAATAGTTTTGAGTACTTATTACATACTACATCTTACTTGTACAGAGAAAAGATTAAAGAAAAGATAGACACTGAAATAGTTGCCTAATTAATAATTGCAATGGTAAATTCTAGGAAGATGTAAAAGGTATAAACTCCCCTCTTGAAAATTTGTGTTGGGAGCTACTGTTTGGCTGTTCAGTACCCCATTTTAAGCTGAGAAGGATAAAAAGGCATAAGCTCATGGGAAAAGGAGTAGTAAGATCCTTGGTAAGCATTGCTGGAAAAGCATTTCAGGATGTTCTCTGTAATGCTTGCTGATTCAAAGCAGAATCTTCTGGAGCATCGAATATATTGGCATCCATCCAGTATCTAGAAATACATTGTCTAAATAGTGTTAACCCTGCAACTGCAATTTCTAAGCTTGGATTCTATTCTCTCATTATTATAAATTGTATTTAGGTACAACTTAATGATTCTCCTCTCCTGCACCACCCCCATTGGAAAGAATGAAACTAGAAGTAAAATTTGAGAGTCTTGAAAGAACCTTTTTTGACAATGTCAAGCCAGATGTGGGTTTTTTCCTTTTTAAGACATTGACTTCTAAATATTAAATATTATGTTCATTTTCCCAGAATACTGACATTTATGTAATTTGCATATTTGAATATTTTATGGGGCCTTTTTTAAAATTTTTAAAATACTGTTCACTAGTATTTTCAGATATGCTTTTTTTTTTTCCTGAGCATTCTTACAAATTGCTTTATGTTGTTGTACAGTGGAGTCATATAGTGCAGGTCAACATTAGATACTTGGGAACAGTACGCAACAGTGTTGAGTCTCAGTCTCATTCTTTGTGTAATTTTCCTTGATAAAAATTGTTTCTTTTTTTTTTAAATTCCCAACTACTCTTTCCAAATGAGTCAAATCAAAGAGGAATTTTATGAAATGAAAAGTACCAAAATTGACTTTGAAATCTAGTCATCTGTCATTGTAATAGAATTCCGCCAGCTAAATTCTAGTGTATATACTTTTCTCAGATTTGAACTGTGTCTAAGACAAATTCTAAGTTTTGTATTTCTACAAGATTCTGTGCTATATACTTCTGATTCTGGTCTAGCAGCACTGTAGCACTGTCCTGTTGTTCATCCATTTGCTTGAGTGGGGACTAGTAACGTCTCCATTGTGAGACTTTTTGTTACTGTTTTTGGCATATCGAGTACTTCAAGGGTAGCTTGCGAGGCTTTGCCATGAGGGCGGAATACACTCATTAGTTTGCCAGTCTCTCCAAGAGGGGTGGAGGAATCAAACTTGGGTCGGCCGCATGCAAGGCAAACGCCCTACCCACTATGCTATAGTTCCAGCTCTAGTACATGAATTTAAGTAATAAAACTGTTGAAGGGAAACTCCAGATGTCTTAGTATTAATTGAAATTATTGTGTTATTTTGACAGGTTATTCTTGTTCAAGTTAATCCAGGTGAGACTTTTACAATAAGAGCAGAGGATGGAACACTTCAGTGCATTCAAGGTAAGGAAGATTTTCTAAATCTTAATGATGTAAAGTTTCTCTGTCTCCTTATGAGATTTCTTTTTATAATTAAAATATTTGGGATATTTTGTTTATTTTTCTCTCAAACAGAAACACTTCTTAATGCTGAAATAGATTTATAAGATACAAAGGACTAACTTAAATTTGTGTTGACTTTTATTGTATTGATTTTGCTTGGAAAAACTTGCTGTCTTCACATGTTATGGAATTTGGCAGCTTTGAATAAAAATATAGGAATTTTACTTTTAAAATTTGCTTTAAAACTTTTATTCTGAAGCTCCAGTTGAGAACATCAGCTGCTTTTTCATATTAAAGATTCTAGTCGTGTATTGTGTTGTTATCCAAATACATGGATAGTATTGCTTTTAGCAGTAAAATCTGTGTGGAGTATCTGTTAAGAACGGATGAATTTTATCGATGAGCAGTCAATTGATCCAGAATTTGGTGGCTTAAGACGGCATTTATTACTTCACTGTGTGTGTCAAGAATTTGAACTCAGCTCAGACATGCCCTGCAGTTCTAGGTCTCTCAAAAAACTCAAATGAGGTGTGGACCTGCTGTCATTGTCTGCAGGTCTGGGGGGCAGTTGGCTTCCAAGCTTGCTCAAGTGGTTTCTGGCAGGATGTAAGGTGTTTTGTGGGCTGTTGGCAGAATCCTTCCCTCATTTCTTTGCTGAGTGACCTCTCCACGGGGGCACTATAAACAGCCACCTTATGGCAGCTGCTTCCATCTGCTGAGCAACTGGAAGGCAAGAGGGAGTAGTAAATCCAACCCACGCAAGAAGTGGTGTGAATATCAGCTGATTGGAATCCGTAGGAAACATCCAAGCACCTGCCACCACAATCCACTTTTCTTAACAATTCATGGCCCTTCCACTTGAAGAAACCCCCTCCTAAGATCTCTATTACTGCATCAGACTCCGAGTTCAGGACCTTGTCCAAAAAAGTTCAAGGTGTTGGTGAGACTCGTGTAGTTCTTAAAATATAGTTTGTGGGGCATTGAAGTTAAGTCTGTGTAATGCCAGCGCCTCATCTGCAGGTGTGACTCAGTGGTAGAATTCCTGTTTGGCATGTGTGAGGCCCTGCGCACAATCTCTGTTACTTTGTAAAGGCAGCCAGAAAACCTGTTGTCCTCACTTTGGAAAGAAACTTAGGTATTATGAGTAATTTCCTTGTGGATAGATCAGCCCAGGTCTGTAGTTAATCTGCATAATTTGTTGTTTTGCAAGGTGTTATTTTCTGTTGGCTTTTGGTGTCAGTGATTGTGATTATGGGAAAAATGATAACTTGGCATGTTGCTGAGTTCAATACGAGGTTGTTTTTGGCTGGACTCTGTTCAGAGATTTTATTTTTGGTTTCTGGATGTGTACTAACCATATATTAATGCATAGATAAAAAGGACTATTAGTTCCTCAAAATGAGTTGCATGGATGAAACTGGACTTTTTTTTCCCTAATGCCTTACATAATGGCACATGTAGCTTTGTGGGTTCTCTTCTTGTTGTCTAACTTCTATAAAAAGGAAAAGAACTATATTTTTGAGAAATTACTATTTAAAAATTATGTCTTGCATATTGCTATACTCATTGTATCCTTGAGAATGATATGTGGTGTTCCAAATCAATCCTTGAGGAACTAAACCTAGGTTTTGTTTAAACACAGGAAAAAACTTTAGGTCAAAGAGGAAAAAAGGATTTTTCAAATAGAATCAATTATCTGTTTGTAGTACTATGGTAAACCAATTTTATCAACAAATAGAACCTCAAAGCTATACTGTATTTAAAAAAAGTACTTGCCAACATAGAATAAAGCTGATGTTTCCAGTTCAGCTAGAAAGCAGTTGTCTGCTGTCCTGGTAACATTGGATTCTTATGAATTGGCCGGTGGACTGTCCTATGGTTTTCTACAACTGAGTATATGCAGAAGAATCTCAAAAATCCATCCCTTTGAACTATCTCCTGGCCTCCTCCTGTCTCACACTTCCCCCCTTTGTGTGTGTGTGTGTGTGTGTGTGTGTGTATGTGTGTGTGTGTCCCCATCCAGATTCCCCACTTTTTTTTTCTTTTTGGGTCACACCTGGCGATGCACAGGGGTTACTGCTGGCTCTGCACACAGGAATTACTCCTGACGGTGCTCAAGGGACCATATGGGATGCTGGGAATCGAACCCGGGTCGGCTATGTCTAAGGCAAACGCCCTACCCACTGTGCTATCACTCTAGACCTCCCCCCATTTATTTTTGAATTCATATCAAAAACTAGTGTTCTTTGCAGGGAATATTGTGGATATGTTACCTGCTCACAATGGGGCTTTGTATTTATTATGATGATACTTGGAGGTCAGTTCACTATTAATACCCCTTTTGATGATTTTAGAAATGCCTTTCACTAAAGCTGAATAGTGGAGTCATCTGTGTTTAACTGCTACAGCTCTCCTTTTCTTATTGTTTTTTGGCCACACCTTTGATGCCCAGGGCTAACTTCTGACTACACTCAGGAGTTTTTCTACTGGTGCTCTGGGAACTGTATGGGATGCCAGAGATCAAATTGGGTTGACCACATGCAAGGCAAGTGCCCTCACGGTACTATTGTTCTGGTCCCCGTGACTTTTCTTTTTTTAAATTCCCTTCTGAATACCCTCATAACCAGAGGGTTCTGTTTATTTGGAACATGGGGGTATGGGACTCAGTAATAGAAAGAGAGGGAGCACCCCTTCAAAACAAGTGGTTTATAGGCAGTTACTCAACTTTTCCCACCTGAATTTCAGTGTGTTTGTGAATACTTCACTCCTTAGGAGAAAAATATACAACATGAAAACAACATAGAATGTAAGAGCAAGGAGTGGTATATATGTACACACCATTATTCTGTCATTTAATGGGTATGAGAGTTACATATGAGAACGCTGAACCAAGTAGATTTTACATGCCTAAAGAGAGTCACATAGCTAGAAAGAGGAAGAATTGAGTTTTTGTCTCTGTGTCTTGATTTCAGAGCATAGACTCTTTATTGCCTTGCTCTTCAGGCTTATATTAAAAAATCATTAACTCGGAGAATAAGATACCTCGGGCCTGTGAAGGAGTGCAGTGAAGTGAGTTCTAAGTACTGGGGTCATGGGGTGAGCACGCAAATGCCAGGCCCAAATGGCTAGGAATAGCTAAAGGAAGTTTGCAAAGCAAAAGAGGATGGTGGAGACAAGTACTGTGTTTAAAGAACCAAGTGTGACAGTGTGATAAAGTAAAGATAACAATCTAGAGCTTGCTGAATGTTTCACTCCTCAGCTTAGGATGGGACCCAGAGCTGGGTTGAGCTGGGCTTCTAGGTTGGGCTTCCAGTTCCTGCTGATAGGAAAAAAAGGATACAACGCAAGAGAGCATGGACGGGAGAAGGCAGTCTATCCGTTATTCCTGCTCCTCCCCCTTTTCAGAGCCTCCCAGCCAGGGTTCGGGGGTCCCAGCAGGCCACTTGAGATGGTTTTTCAGCCAGCTGGCTCTTATGATTCTATGCTCAGGCCCTGCAGTGCTCAGAAGGCCACCAGCATCATACCAGCCACTGAGTGGCTTCTGGAACTATAGCCAGTGGTGTCTGGGGTGGGGGCAGCCATTGGTGCCCTGGGTCAAACATGGTCTTGAACATGCAAGAAATGCTTCTGGCTGCCGAGCTAGATCCCTGGCCTCTTGCTTGCTTTGAGAAAGCTACTAGAGGGGCAGAGACATAGCTCAGTACACTGAGGACATCCTTGGTGTGTAGGAGGCCTTGGGCTCGTTCATGATGTGGCCTAGTGTAATGCTCCATGGGCACTGGGAGAGACCCCTGCCCTTTGCACAAAGCCAGGGATGGGAGTCCCGAGTATGCAGTGCCACCCCCACCCCCTTTAAAAAAATCCACCGGGAATTGTGTCCTATCGGGATGAAACTTCAGAAAGAATTATCTGAGTTTTTTTCCCCTAGAGATGAAAATGACCAGAATGAAGCTCTAGTTACATTCTTTCAACACCAACCAGCAGATGGGAATGTATTTTTTTTAAAGTGGGGGTGTGAGGGGAGCAGTTGGTGATAGTGGCTTCTTGGAAGTTTCTGTACCCTCATTTATTGCTTATGCCATGATTCGAATTACCAGTTTCATAATTTCATCTCGTCTACCTGGATAGTTAGAGATTGGTGTGTGTGTGTGTGTGTGTGTGTGTGTGTGTGTGTGTGTGTTGTTAAGATGGTGATGGTGGTAAGGTAGTATAGGGCAGAGACATTAGGGGTAAGGATTACAGTTGATTGTCAGCCTTCCTGGAAACTTTGAAATTTTGTGTATGAGATCAGTCTCCTCTGTTTGGATTTGAATGTTAGCCTAAGAGTTTTCTCTGCAGGGCATCTGTGACATCACTAGAAAAATTCAGAAGCTCATTGTGATGCCATGAAAAGACAGCTTGAAAAGTCACAAATTCACAATAAAGACGAAGAATCCAATATAAAGAATACTCGGGGGGAAAAACAAAATTTTGTTTTCATGGAATGTCCTTGGTGATAAGGAAGGAAAAACACAGGAAACATACAATAAGCTGTGAAAGCAGAATCATTTCTAATGGAATATTTCTTAATATTTTCCATGAAACATGAATCATAGGTCCTGAAGGGGTCGCAGAAGGTCATAGTTCCTTCTCACTTGGAGGCAGTACCATACCTGTGGATCCTAGACAGTTTCCTTTCCTTTCCCAGTTAGGAAATGGTACCGAATGCTAATTGTCTGGGGAAAAAGGATCTTTGAAATCAATATGTATTTTGCACAGCAATTACTGTGGACAGCTATGGGCATCTCCCGTTATTTTCATTCCTTTTCTGGGCTGAGATCCTGCCAGGGAGGGCAGCCTTCCTTCCTGTCCACACATGCCATCTTTTTATCTGGACTATTTCTCTGCTCTTTGTGAAGTCATCCAGCCAAAACAAATAGTACACTTCCTTTAAGACTCTTAGTCTCTCTCATCCAGACTCT